GGGTTCAGATTTCGAGAGGCCATAGTGTTGTTAGGTTGTAAGATTGGCATATGGTGTTGAATGCCTGTGAGATAAAGGTTGATGGTGTTACATGACATTTTAAGTTTAAGGTGGCAAAAAGAAGCAAAACCCAAAAAGGATGTCATAACAAATGGTTGCATGATGTTATGTTCCAAAAGGAATCTTTTGAATAGTGTAAAAGCCCTGTCATATGTTTTGTGTGTATTCTTTGATAGTGCCAATTGGGACAGTGTCCTGCTATGATGCATGATGATGTCTAGTCCAGTATTAGTTGTTGAAATGTTGGAGTGGTAGTGGCTGTGAGCGCAGCTGACGGGAGTGCTTAATGAAATGCCTGAAATTTAAAACGAGACAAACTGTCGGCAGCTGTGTTACATATTCCTGGAACATGGAAACAATATATAAAGAAATTGTGACAAGCTGCCAACCACGTGAGTTTCCTCAGAAATCTCATGATCGTTAGGGATTTTGAACGACCTTTGTTGATGATGTGACAGGTTGCCTGGTTGTCTGAGTAACAACGAACTGGCATGTTTGCCCATAAATGACCCCATGCTACGGCAGCCGCCACAATGGGATAGATCTCAAAGAGAGCTGAGGTAGTGGAAAAACCTTCCAAATCCTGAACTGCTGTAGGCCAGCTGCCCCAAAACCATTCGTTCCCAAAAATTGCTGCAAAACCTGTGGTAGATGCTGCATCTAACCAAATAGATGAGTCAGTCAATTGAGGGAGGAACATATTTTTACCATTCCAAGTGGTTAAAAATTCCTTCCACATGCGTAGGTCTGCCGTAGCTTGGTTATCTAAGGACAACCTGTGTGTGTCGTGTAGGAAGCGTGGAAAAAGATACAAGAGTCGTGATATGAAGGAGCGGTCTTGAGGTATGATACGCATGGCAAAATTTAGTGACCCCAGCAGGGACTGTAGCTCTTTGCGGTTGCAAGTACCGCGCTGAAGGTAGTGGTTGAAATAAGTAAGAATGTTCTCTATCTTATCGTGTGGTAGGCTTGCTTGCATTGTGGTTGAGTCTAATTGAATACCCAGGAAAGTGATAATCGTGTCTGGCCCCTCCGTTTTCTTAGGGGAGATTGGTACAACAAGTTGCTCGAATAGCTTGGTGGTAGCTTTGAGGCTATTAGGAGGGGAAGTATTTTCCTCGACCAGTAAGAAGTCGTCCAGGTAATGTAATACCGTAGGACATCAGGCTGTGTTCAATAGTAACCAGCACAATGCTTCGGCAAATGTGTCGAAAATAGCTGGGCTACTTTTGGACCCAAAAGTTAAACGGGAGAAAAAATAGTAGTTCCCGGCCCACTTGATTCCATGCAGGTGCCACAGTGTGGGGTGGATTGGTAGCAATTTAAAGGCGTTAGTGATATCGGTCTTACTAAGCCAGGCTCCGACCCCTGCTTGTATGATTGCTGTAATGGCGTGATCTATGGTGGTGTATTGCAGGGAGAATTCCTCGGAGGGTATGAGGGAATTAAGACTGGGGTTGGCCGATGAGTGTGGTGCAGACAAGTCAATGATGAGTCTCTGTTTAAGGGAAGATTTCCCTGTGACAATACCAATGGGGTTAGTACGTCATTCTTTAAATGGAGGAGCTTTGAAAGGCCCCAATACGAAACCCTCAGCGACTTCTTGGGCTAAGAGAGTGTCAACAGCTGTGGGATTATGTTGTGTGGATTGTAGATTAGGGCATTCCAGAGTCCCGGATGGTATGTGTAGAATACCCGTATGGAAGCCTTCTGTTAAACCAGAGATAAGAAAGTCCACCAAGTGTTTAGAGGGGTGATGTGACATAAATGTAATAAACACCGGCACATTAATGGACGTGAGGTAAGGCTTAGAATACATTTTATTTGGACACATGGTTTTTGCATGTGCCCTAAAACATTTTAAACAGATATGCAATAATCTGCAACCGCTATAATCACAAGACTCAACATTGAAATTATTACATATCTGAGACTTGCCCAGGAACTTAATCGGGCATCCCAGTTTGTCTCTGGTCACTTTATCTGGGACACCAGAGGAACTAGCTCCTTGCGTGGAGGCATGTTGGGCAGCCGTGTTGGGACAGAAGTTTGTCGTATGGGCTGTAGAGGAGCAGTATGCACAAGCCGGTGTTCTCAGACCTGCAAAGTGTCTGCAAAATATGACGGTATCTATCCTTCCCCAGTAGGATCTTGTTCAATACTGGGAGAACGCTCCAGACACTTTTGCAGAAAAAGACCTATGGTAGTCATAAAAGGCTGAATCACCATATTTATTGCCCAGGTCTACCAGCTTGTGCATATAAAGATCAAACTCTTCTCTTCTTGGGATAGACCGCACAGATGACATCCCGGTAAATACCAAAGGCCAGTACAAACTCGGGGATAGTCAGTTTCCTGTTTAGGCGGGCGTCCCTAGATCTGACAACAACAGACACATCATCATAAGCATAAGTCTTATTTTCCACAATATCCTGGGAGGCAATCAGCAGGGAAGCTAGGTTGACGTCTTTACCTTCCAGGATATCTCTTTTTATGTGCTCAGGGATCATATGAGCAGGGCTAACTTCCTGGTCATCCAAGGTAATGGTTGGAGGAACCAATAGCAAGTCGGCTGGTGCTTGTGAAGCAGCAGCGGGTGGCCCTGCTAGAGTAAGGGCCGTGGTGACCGACTCAAGTTTCTCCAACCTGGAGTTGACCTTGCTCATGGACGTCATGAGTGAGGATAACATAGAATGTATGTCCCCTGGGTTGGACTGGCAAGGTCCTTCACCGGGATCCATGTTATTTGACATACGTAGTAGTTTGAAAAGTTCTGCTTTCCTTGCTGTAGCGGGGTAGGGGATTTGTCGTCTCCTTAATTCGGTAGTTATACGAGGGATCGTCCAGGATCTGATTGATGCCAGACTATTTACCTCTCCTCCTCGTGTAGGAGTGATAGCTCTAGCCGGAGTGCTAGGCAGGGAGAAATCCTCTACCCCTTCCTGAGACATACTATAACCAAAACAATTAATTAGTGTATGAAAACCACACAAAATTGTACTGGCAGGCTAGTTAAGCCGGATCGCGAAACATTACACTTGTTTGGTGATAGGTGAGGCCCTACTAGTTGCCAAGTGGCTTGAGAGGCTCTATCTATGTGTTGGCACGAGGGGATTTGAGGCCACCCGTCGTAGTGGCAGGAATTTTAGGCCTCTCGATGACTGTAACATAGAAAACAGGGAGAGGGAGTGACAGGTGAGGCCCTCTCTATGCAACATGCGAGGCGGCTAGCTAACGTGTGGCCCGATGGGTTATTGCCTCTGAAATATTGAGGCGGGGTGTTGGCCTCGCGGGACCACTAACTGATGGCAATGCCAAGAGGGGTAAATACCTATTGGGAAACCTATGACCCTATTGTCAGTACTCTAACCTAGGGGGGAAGAAATGAAATGTATGGCAGAATACCATATGAGCAGGTGTACGTACCTGGTAGTATGAATATCTGACAGGAAACCGTGTGGTGAAATATATATGTGTTGTAGTTATAACACAGAAATGAGGCCTGTAATGTAGGCTGAGTCCATTTGAATGAATGGATAAGTATGGCAGACCCCTGAAAGTGTGGGAGTCAAAATGATCCATATAGATAAGTGAGCTTGGTATTTGATTGGAGAGTGTGTATACAGGTGGTCCTCGTTTTGCGATCTACCTGTTTTACAATGGCTCGCACTTACGACTAGCTCTCTCACGGCTTGGTAAGTGCGAGCCGTCATGGGAATTAGAGGGATTCCCTGCTCTTGTGCATTTGTGCACGTTCAGGGAAATTTCCCCGAACATAGACAAGAGCACCAGAACAGGGAATCCCTTAACTCCTCACTTACCGATCAATTCGTTCTATGACCAGGTCGTAGAAACGGAACCCGGTCAGTCAGTAAGTACCTGTATATATAATTTTTTTTATTTTTCTGTGAAATAACCTTACCTTCCTTACAAATTTAGTTTACTTTTAAAATGACAGTTACACAAATCTGTTTTCCAATTTTGGCACCATTCTTAACACTGCTACAACCTACTTCCCTGAACTTGGGCCTTCACTGTTGCTAACAGAATCAGGTAGCAAATTGGAAAGTGTGATGTAAGCGGTCAAAATGGCACCAAACCTATGTGGATCATTATAGATGCAGCACCCTTCACTACTAAATGATACTAAACCATACCTTCTTTGAAGCCCATCTACCTCTAATCAATTTCTAATCATACCACTACCCCTAATTGTGGGGTGGAGTTAGGTTTAGGGGTTGAACTGGGGTAGGTTTAGTTTCTATGAGCAGAGCCACAGTCATGATGTGATAAAAAAACTCCAGGTCTCCTAATATTAAACAGAAACTAAAAGAATTAGCTGCGCTCTATCCCTATGCACATGTACAACAACTCAAGATTTTTTTGTATCACTCCAATGGCCATTTAAGTGTAAGTTCATCAGACCCAAGTACTTCGATATTTAAATGTGCAGAAACACTTGAATAAGTAGTATAGATTGTTCTTTTAAACCCTGAAATCTTATCTTGTGTAAACACTATTACACCATTGAAGTCTTCATTAACACTTGCCTTTCAGTTGTTGAAATCCACTTTAGCAGTAGTGGTAGAAGAAGCCATGGTTGAACAACATGGTCACAAATACTCCAAATGATCTTTTTTAAGGACTTAGAAATACAGATAAAACCATTTCAATAGTACATGTGTAAACAAATAGATAACATTTAGTAATTTGGGGGCGTGGCCTGAAGTCCAACAGACATGGAAGTGTAAGTCCCGAGCTCCCCGCCGCCTAGCTACCATCAGCCGTCTACCGCCCGCTAGCCTGCCTAAATGGGGCGTACAAAACGGCAAGAGACCCAGCATACCCCCAGGGCAGCTCCACCGGCACCGCTGTCAGGACCAATGGACGGGTTCCTGCAAACCCCGCTGGGACCGAGCCGCGAGGCACATGGCTCCAAGATGGCGCCCGTCTCCCCGGCCTCCTCCTGCTCGGAACCCGACCAGCCTACTCTGGCTGATATAGGAGCTGAGATCAGACGATTGGCAGCCAATATGGTCACCAAAGCCGACCTGCAGTCCCTCACAGCCACCCTCACGACCTCCCTCACGTCAGCAGTCTCAGCACTGCGAACAGATATGGAGGCACAAGATGGACGCATCCAAATGCTGGAAACACAGGCCCTAGAATCACAACGCCGTGCAACTGCTGCTGACACAGCCTTGACAAGGCAGGGCAACATGCTGCTGGCCCAGTGCAGACAAATAGAGGACCTAGATAACCGGAGCCGCCGCTCAAACATCCGGGTAAGAGGGGTACCAGAGGGTGAGGGGCAGGAAAATGTAGAAGAGCTACTCACCACGCTCTTCCTCCAAATCCTGGGACCTGACGCACCACCAAATATACGCTTTGAGCGTGCACATAGGGCACTGAGACCCAGAATCAGAGATGGGGACCCCAGAGACATTATATGCTGCTTACACTCATTCCCCCTTAAAGATCGCATAATGCAACGGGCTAGGGCTAGACCCACGTGGCGTTATCAAGAAACAGAAGTATCCCTCTATAATGACCTTTCTCCTACCACGTTAGAGGCTAGACGTGCTCTCAGACCTATCACCACAGCACTGAGGGAACGCAATATCCCATACAAATGGGGCTTCCCATTTAGCATCCAAGTGAGACACCAGAACGAATGGGTCGCTGCGCGCTGGCCAGACGAAATACCACGCTTTCTCCAACGGCTGGACCTCCCGTCCATAGCAATCCCAGACTGGATCCTGGAACCACTGGACCGAGAACCCAGACCACAAAGACAGCCAAGGAACTCACGGAGGGGCCCAAGGAAAAACCGCATACGCGAAACACCTTCACACCCGTCCAACCCAGAGGAATAGCCAAGCACTGGTGGCACCGGGCTCAGCTCTCTGTGAAACCTGAGATCCGGTTACCTGAAACGATGTCGACGCAAACGGCGCCCCGCAGACAGAACTCATTGCCCACAACCCACTGACCCAAGGAGCCAACTCCGCGAGATGCCTGTGGTGTGCACACACCCAGCGACCTACACAATATGGATGGGGACTAGGAGGGACATAACACGCTCTTGACCACAGGAGATGGAACTGTTGGTACCAGTTCTACTAGGCCCCAATGGCCAAGCTATTCCCCACCCTATACCCACCTTTCCATAGCCTATGGCCCATAGGGATGGCATTACCACAAGACACTCTTGGGAGGGGGGAAGGCTTGTGATAGCCGCATAGGGAACCCAGGGAAGCTGAAGAATCACGAGCCGGATCCCCTGGCTAGACTTGCCACCGCACCTACAAGGAACCGACAAAAGACTATGATCCGGAAAAGGATACCCGCGCTGGCAGAGACACGGCACTCAGGAGGACTCATACCAACAGGTTCAGGGGGGGATGATGAACGCTGGGCTGGCCACATATTACAGGCCTATGTGGGGAACAGACAGGAGGGAGGGACTTGTGGGACTGTATTGGGCTACATGGGGGGTAGTTTAGAGCCAGCGAGACACAGATTGTTGAGATCCTAGGCCAACAGTTTCAAATTGGTAGAGTGGGGGAGGATACGGGAGAGTGGGAGGGTGGAATTTAGAATCCCTTAGTATATGACACCTGATGCAGATAGCCCATGAATACAGAAGATCTAGGTAGGGACCGCTATGTGCGATATCACCCCGTTCCCTTCAGGCCTAGATATGGTCACACACAGGTACGCTAACGTGAGACGAGGGTGCCGCAAGAGGAGAATAGGAGCTAGGAGGTACACGAAGGGGATCCAACGCTGCACCTACTGTATATATATGTTTTACTCTGTGATTTGGGTGGTGAGGGTATGTACTGTAAGATATGATGCACATTTTGAATTGTTCACCACGACATGACAGCTCATGACAGCTCTCCCATTGAAATAGAGGGTGATGACCCTACTTCCCCCCAGAGCAAGCCAAACGTCCTGCAAACCACGTGACAGTCACGACACACCAGAACACCGCCCTACTCATACTCCCGACTCAGGAATTCGCCCCGACATGATATAGATCCTGACCCTGGCACCAACCGTACCGCCTAAAAACACTCCATCACTCGATAGCACTACGTTAGCCTAGGATACAAATAACGACAATATTGATAACTGCTGATGACACTAGACTAGGCTCATTACTCACACTAACATGAGCTAACGACACTCAAATGCTCCCATACTGGTGGCACACCCACTGGGTAATCTCGGACTTATATACCTGTAACGACAAATAATAGACACATCGTAACGGGGTGAGAACACGAGGACTTGACCACTAACCCCCGCCAAGTTCGCGTGAACAAATTCGAACCACGGAGAGTCGATAGTTGGAGGTCGTTAGATATTCTCTGACAGACCCGACTACTGACTGCTACCGTGGTCACGCGAACCAACCCTCACAGGAGGGATTTCTGACACCTACCTCTAGGTGCCGTACTGTCCCCCTCTGGGGACGGCTAACCTACCTCTACCTTCATACCCCTGCCTAGGGGACTCTCTACATCCTTTCTCAAACCCCTCTCTATCCCCTACCTCATCCCCCCCATACGACTCTGATCCAACCCCCCCACCCCAACCTCTCCACTACCGTCACACCCCCCCCCTGTCATCTCTGTGCCCACGGCATTTCCCGAAAGAGACGGGCAACACCCGACAACAGGCACCGATTAGAAGAGTAAACAAATTGTTAAAGGACATAGCGAACCACCCCCACCCATCGCAAATGGCATACGAACCCGACCCTCTACGCATCACAACCATGAACTGCAGGGGCCTAAATATCCCGGAGCGCAGATCGCACCTTCTTCGAGAGCTTACCTCTAAGCGCGTATCGATTGCTTTCCTACAGGAAACACACTTTAAGGAAGGACATGCTCCGCCGTTGAAGAGCAAACACTACCCCACTGCGGCTCTCAGCAACCACCCGACTGCACGTAAGGCAGGTGTAGCAGTTCTCACCCATGCTCAACTACAGTTCCAGGAAGTGGAACGACTGGCTGATCCTAACGGCAGATACCTGTTCCTTAAGGGAGACATACAAAACCGTAGGTACACCCTCGCGACGATATATGCACCCAATAACAACCAATCACACTTCATACGTAAATCTCTCACCAACCTCTCCTCATTCACAGAGGGCACATTAATCGTTGGAGGAGATCTCAATGTTCCCCTCATCCCTCTCATAGATTCATCCACGGGACACAGTAGCATCACCCAAGGAGCCCTCCGAAGCATACAGAAAACGCTTAAGAACCTTAGGCTGGTGGACTGCTGGCGAGCAATGCACCCGGCAGACAGGGAATACACCCACTACTCAGCGATACATAAGCGATACACGAGGATTGACTATATCTTCCTTCAACAGGAACACCTTGTCGCTATCCAAAAAGCAGAAATTGGATCAGCAAGCTGGTCGGATCATGGTCCTGTGACCCTGCAAATGGACTCCCCCAGGGTACGCCCAACCGCTAGGTCATGGCGACTCCAGGACTCATTACTCTTGGACCCATCAGTGAAGGAAACGGTTTCCGAGGAACTCACTTCCTATTTCGCACTGAATGAGACAGATGATCTCCCCGCGACCACGATATGGGAAGTGCACAAAAGAGTGCTCAGAGGTACACTGATGCACTTGGCTTCTCAGAAGAAGAGAGAATCTCGGAAACATATGACGGACATACTAACGCGCATAACTACGCTTGAAATGCAACACAAACGTTCCCACCTCGAGGGGACATATAAAGAATTATTGGAAGCCCGAAGATCTCTACATACCCACATGACGAATCGACACTATAGCTCCATACAACGATCGAAGGCCTTCTTCTACCAACGCGCCAACAAAGGAGGGCGGCTGCTGGCCAGAATGCTTAGAGGCCCCCAGGGCATGACCCAGGTACATAAGCTGAGGACATCAGACGGCACGATCACACAATTCCCGGATAAAATAGCATCCGAGTTCTGCACATTTTACGCCTCGTTATACAACATCCCGGGACCCACACTCCCGGAGGAAATAACACTCAGACGGGATAGAATAAGGAGTTACATCGAATCACACGTGAAGACGAGGTTGCAGCAAGGGGAACCGGAGTTACTGGATATACCGATCACGGAGGCAGAAGTGGCAGGGGCACTCAAGACCGCCAAAACGGGACGGGCCCCAGGCCCTGATGGCTTCACCTTGGACTATTATAAAAAGTTCCGAACCATACTGCTCCCGAGACTCACCAACGCATTCAACGCTTTGATAGATGGCGCCCGATTCGGACCCGAATCACTAGCGGCAACTATACCGGTTCTCCCGAAACCTGGGAAGGATCCCGAACTCTGCAGCAGCTATAGACCGATATCACTGCTAAATGTGGACGTGAAGCTCCTCACTAAAATACTATCCACCAGAATAGGAAAAATGCTTCCGAGATTGGTCCATCCAGACCAGACGGGGTTCATCCCAGGGAGAGAAGCTAGAGACAGCACTCTTAGAGTGCAATCCATCCATCACCTGGCAAGGAAATCAACAGATAAGCTCCTATTACTGTCAACGGATGTGGAAAAAGCATTCGACCGGGTTGATTGGACATTTCTTGTAACCACACTACGGGAAATGGGCTTCGGAGAGAACATGATGAAATGGATTGATGCGATCTACCATTGCCCCAATGCGAAGGTTAGAGTGAACGGAGCGCTTACCGATTCCTTCCAGATCCACAATGGGACAAGACAGGGATGCCCACTCTCCCCCATGCTCTTCGCCCTGGCTCTCGAACCGTTCCTAGAAGCCTTGCGCGCATCAGATACAATCCAGGGCTTCAAAAGCGGGGATACAACACACAAAGTAGCAGCATACGCAGATGACCTCTTATTTTTTATCACGGAACCGGAGGCAACAATGCCCCACTTAGTCACTATGATCACGGACTACGGGGAGGTCTCAGGATTCAAATTGAACATGAATAAATGTGAAGTACTTAACATCACCACTCCAATGGCCCAAACATCTGCACTGAAGAACCAATTTCCGTTTAGATGGTGCGCAAACCACATGCGGTATCTAGGTATCGCAATAACCAGAGACCTAGGTGACATGTATCGAACGAACTTCCTACCACTACTACAACGAATCCAACAAGATTTGAAAACGTGGACATATCCACACATCTCGTGGTTCGGCCGGATCGCAATACTTAAGATGAATATTCTACCACGGCTGTTATATTTATATCAGACGATTCCGCAAGCTCTACCGACGGCATATTTCGCGTCACTAC